CAAACGTAGATACAGCCGAATGTGAATTGGTTTCTTACGTTTTATCGCAGTAGAACACTGGTTTACGATTATGTGATCTGTGAATAGCGAAAGGACTTTTCTGAACTGAACATCTATTGGGACATTCATTCATAGTTGACAACGAGTTCGGATAGTAAAAAAGATCTCCAAAATAGGTCTCAAATTCATAACAGAAGGAACAGTTAATACTGGCAATATTCTTGGTTCCAATAAATTCATCTGATTCCTGCAATCTATGTCAGTCTCATCTGTACGCAGTAAAACTGCATTGTAAATCTGCTTAGTTTAACAAATGAATTTTCTCATCTATGTAGGTAGTTGTAGGTAGCCATTGGCTCCGTACTTGCCGGTTTCCTAAGATCTATTTCCCCACTAGTCTAGTTGCAGTTAGTGCAGGGAGTCCTTGCAGCGATGCGTCTGGGTCGTCGACCCCGATCGATGCCAGCCACCCTACGGAACGCTTGCATCTGTTGGGTGACTGCCGAATCCTAATTCTGAAAGGAAAAGGTCGCAATTCCGCAATGGAATACAATCTGTGAGGAATAAACTCAGATCATAGAAAGAGAATAGATATGAAGTCGTGCGTAACTACAACGAGAACCAGTGTCCCCACATTTCCCCCACCACAGCTCCCACACACACATTCAACTGTGTAAAAACAAAGCGACTGAGAGTCTACGACAACATGTGTTATCGTCTTAAAATTGCTGTGATTGGCCAGAAGGCGTGACTTATGGTCAATCAATGGCCGCGTGACGTGACGCACACTTTGAAATAAAGCAATTAGAGAGAAGAAAGATAAAATGGAGTCGATATGATATCGATACTTTAAATCCTGGGGGCAAGGCTCGAAATTGGTTTAAAAAATGCTTGTATGAAAACCTTTTTATTATTATACGTTATTATTATGTTCTTTAACGATTTTTGCATTATAAAGGAGTCAGTTCCATTTTGTATGGACGAAAAACTCAGAATCAATTATTGGGACTAAATGAAGTTACCTTATATTAATTTACCCCAACCAAAGCTCAATGTCGTTATCGATGGAGTATAGAAGTTATAGACTGACAAAGTTTGTATGAAAAGTCATGGGTTAAGTAGGTACTTGCGATTTTTACCAGTATTTACAATATTGGTAATATATTATTATTTACTTTAATAATAATAACAGGATCACTGTAATTATTATTAACTACTATCGCGCATTAACTTTTTAATTATGGCGAAATTCGTACCGCCTATGTTTATCAAAAATAATGCCTATATTAGGCTTTCAACTAGCTCTTATAGTAATTACATAGTTGACAGTTACTAATCCCTTCTACTATTGTTATTGTTTTTGTAAAAACTTAAAAATCGCAAGCAACTCATGATTTTTTCATTCAAAATTAGAAAATAGAAAATAATAATTTACTTCTATTTATCGATAATAGGAAACCGTATTAGAACACGAGCCCTGCACTATGTTACGACCGGCACATGCGGCCGTACTGTGTATTTTCACGCGTCAGTGGATATCGGAAGAAATAAAATACATTGCGCAGTAGTTACGCATGACATAAAGTGGTTGCTAACTAAATCGTCAATGTACAACGTGTTTGAATTTTTATCACCACTAATTTCGATATCGCAGTAAATGTCACGGCACTGAATTCGTTCGTAAAAATGTTTAGTTTTTTTTATTTATAAGCAAAATACCAATGGATTTGCAATACTTACATGTGGTAAATGACTTCATTGTTCCTGTAGTTCTTCGTTTCACTTATGTTATTGCACGTTACGACGCATTATCCAACAATATCGGAGAACATTTCCTCAGTACGACTGAATCGCGACTAACCTGGCGTCCCGGGCGATGTTCGTTTCTGGGCATATCGCGGAGACACGCGCCACGCCCCCGTTTCACATCTATTCCCTTCTATGATCTGAGGGAATAAATAATAACCCTCCTTCTGGCGCAGTCGAGTAAAAGTAGGTAAATAATATCACTTCATTTTACACTTCACATCGTGTTTATACAACGGAATAAATATACACACTTTATGTAAATAAGATGCATACATTTATTATAGAAAACACGCAGAACAATACTATCTGATGTTTGTTTTGTATTGTGCGAGAATCGAACCCGCGACCTTTCGCATAGTGTACTCCAATACAGGAACCGCTAGGCCAACAAAGGACCGATATTTTTTTTAAAGAAACGTGTGTTACTGCCACACGTCATACACATCCTTTTCTGTAAATTAGTTAGACTATCCAAATCGGCTCTGTCTTTGCAGAAGAATGATAAAATTATAAGAATGTCGAGTAATTAATTAATCGTTAATTTCTTTGAATTTATTTCGGCAATTTTTTTCAAGTTACTTCAAATTAAAACTGTGGCTGTGACTTCCACAGAATACCAGCGCGTTGTGTTCTGCTAAGTAGTTCCCTTTTAGTTCAAAAACTAATAAACGATTTTTCTTTCCTTCTTTCAAAACTCAAGAAAGTTTGTTTGGTTTTCAGCGTTGAAATTCTAATGCATTCGCTAACTCGCTGCCCTAGCGCACGTATACAGCGCGTGACACGCGTGACCTGATTCTCTGTGTTGACTCGTGAAGCGTTGTCAGGTCCAGTGGTAATTACGTTAAGACGACCGTTTACCGTCCATTGCTAAGGCGCCTATGACTTTAATAGCATGGTTGCTACGGTAGAATCATTCCCTGAACGTCGCTTCCATAATGTAGCTTCTCACATCTAGCCCATTGCTAAGGCGCCTATGACTTGAATATCATGGTTGCTACGGTAGAATCATTCCCTGAACCTCGCTTCCCTATAAATGTAGCTTCTCACATCTAGCCTGCATTCCCATTACATCGCTCTTCGCCTTACTGTAAGTCGCACGACGTCGCGCCTACTTATGGTACAGTCATGGATGTGATACGCGTGACCTGATTCTGCCGCTCTGTGTTGACTCGTGAAGTGTTGTCAGGTCCAGCGGTAATTACGTTAAGACGACCATTTACAGCTCTCGCTAAAGCACCTATGACTCATTTAATCTCATGGTTGCCATGGTAAGTCCCATAAACTGGAACTGGTCTGGTTCCTGAGTTACTTAACCAAAAGCAAGTGTCCGATACTAAGAAAATTAGGACAATATCAGGCTCAAATTCTAAAACAGTCAAAAGTTTATTCGTGGTTGATTGAACTTCAGAGGAATCTCAAACGTGAATCTATTCTTGATTTTTAATAGGTTCATACCTACCTGACATACACATCTAACCCGCTTTCGCTACAATACTTGTTTACAAGTATACGTTGAGTTTGCCTTTAATAATCCGCACCTAATCTAATAATATAATTTTTATTCCAAAATCAGCTTAGAAACCGGGGTAGTGAAAAACTTTACATAGTTGAAAGTAGATTAGCTTCAGCCCGTGCACGAACCATAGCCACTAGTCGCTATCCAGCTAGATAGGGATTGGTGTCGATCGCATTCACGTAATAGACGCACAGCCGACATATTATTGTTTGATCAGCGGCTGGCTATGGTCAACGGACGACACGCTTGTTAAAACTAAATGGATTACTATATGTATTTCAAACAAGCTTGTTTACATAACTTTATGATAAAAATCTGCGGTAACATATTTGAGACAGATTAAAATATTTTCAGTGGAAAATGAACAGTCGGCCTGGTGAAGGATTCAGGGAGCCTTGGTAGAGAAGGCTTTTTTCCAGCAATGGTTGTCTTTGGGTTAAAAAAGAAAGCTTATAGATCGTTTCAATCACGAAGACGCGCCCCACCATTCTTCTGCTAATGTTTGAGTGTTATCGGTACGCTAAATTATCCATGAGTGCACACGCACACTACAATAATGACGCTTGGATTGCTCGGATCAAACTCTCCGCACCCCGCGCTTGCCTTGACCAAACATTGGTAGGGCGCGTCTTCGTGGATGAAACAATCCACTATACAACTGTAACGTCTTATGTAGTTACTAGCGGCCGCCCGCGACTTCGTACGCGTGGATCCCGTTTTACCCCCTTAGGGGTGGAGTTTCGTAAAATCCTTTCTTAGCGGATGCCTACGTCATAATAACTAGAGATGAAACGGATAGTTGTTTGGCCGGATACCGGATATCTGGCCGGATAGTTGGCCCATTGTCTCGTTGCATGTCGTGACGATTTTAGCGTCGCACAGGTGCTTCGAACGCGATCAGAAGACTTAGACAAGTCACACTTTTCGAAAATCGAATCCGTCCGAATCCGAATAGATCAATTCGGGCGATTCCGGTTGCCATCGTGTGTGTGTGATTGAATAGCGAAAATTAATATTATAGTTGAAAAATTCTACTCAAGCGTGACGTATCGCGCCATTTCAACTCGATGTAGCACTGTTATTATTTAATTATGAAAGAAAATAAAAAATATGAGTCTAATATTTTCTAATTATCTGTCTGACGGACAAATAATTGAAATTTTTTCATCTAGCCTATTGGTAATATTTCGACATTAACAGATATTTACTATTTATGTATTCGTCATTAGAGTAAATAGCCCAGAAAAAGAAATAAGTATTTTGAAAGGCTTTTTTGTAACTTTTTGGACTTTAAGCCGTCATTATTATAAGCCATTTTATTGATATTTACCTCAAAGATTAATGCATTTCACTTTATTGTCGTAGTTTTTTAATATCCGGTATCCGGCCGGATAGTGAGTTACTATCCGGTATCCGGCCGGATAGTAAATTTAGGCCGGATATCCGGCCTACCGGATAGTTACCGGATATCCGTTTCATCTCTAATAATAACATCTACCTGTATGCCAAATTTCAGCCCGATCCGTCCAGTGTTTTAGGCTGTGCGTTGATAGATCACTATGTCAGTCAGTCACCTTTGAGTTATTAATATGTAGGTGCTTTAAATATATTTTCTCTACCTGTAGGCTGTAGACTGAACTTAAAAAATCCTTAACCAGAACATATTTCTTTGCAGCCCGCGACCGTTTCCCGTCGACGTCATCAACGGACGACAATGAGAGCGGCACGGACGGCGAAGCGGACCGGTCGCGGCGCGTCAGCATGGTGCACGGTCACCTGGGCCCGCCGCCCGGCATGATTGCTGTGCGCAAACGGCGCGGAAACCTGCCCAAGCCTTCCGTCAAGATCCTCAAGCGGTGGCTCTACGACCACCGGTACAACGCGTATCCCAGCGACGCGGAGAAGCTCACGCTCAGTCAAGAAGCCAATTTGACGGTTTTGCAAGTGAGTATATTGAAAAATTACCTTTACAAACCGGTCAGGTTAACTGCGCACTTGGCAGCCGTGACGTCACAACCCGACAGCACTTCCATCCCCATCACTTAGATGGTTGGCAGTCCACAACAGTACGTTTCTCTAGAAACTTCTTGCCCCGTACAACCAAACTGTGGAATGGACTGTCGTTTGTGGTGTTTCCGGACGGATACGACCTGCAAGCTTTCAAGAAGAAAGCGTATCTTCACCTTAAAGGCCGGCAACGCACCTGTAACGCCCTTGGGACTGCAGGTGTCTATGGGCGACGGTAATCACTTACCATCAGGTGATCAGTCTGCTCGTTTGCCTCTTGTCACATAAAAAAAAACAACGAAGCTCTGGTACGAACGAACGCGAGTGCGAGGGAGAGTCGCATTCCAGCGAGGTACGCAGTTTACTTGACATCTGTCTCCCGCTTTACACGGAGGGAATTCAATATTATATTTCGAACTCCTCCTATATTCTTCTGATTAAATTCGTTGCGGGTTCCAAGACAGTTATTCCCAGGGACTACTCAACCTTCACTGGTTGGGTTTCATTGGAGGCCAAGCTGTAGATCCTGGCTACACAGGAGTCGCAGCAGGGGAACGAGAGTTGGGAATAGTCCCGTTTCTTCATAAACTCCAAGACTGAGTTGCACCACCTTTGACCGTTTTAACGATGACCTGTGTTTTTTGTATGGAGTTTGACAGATTGTCGTTTGTCAAAGATAAAATAAGATGGTGCATCTCAGCCTAAGAGTAGGCGCACACCGTTGCTTTTCGTCGGCTGATAGTTTAGTCGGGCAGTTGATCAGTATGGGCATGTATGGGAGTGCGTACACAACGCCGATTCGATTTGGCCGATTCTTCATACAATTTCAAATCGGGCACAACTATCGGCCTACTAAAAATCAACGGTGTGCGCCTACTTTAAGATGTCAACTTACAAATATCACCAACTTATCCTCAATCTTCCCCGCAGGTATGCAACTGGTTCATCAACGCGCGACGGCGCATCCTGCCAGAGATGATCCGGCGCGAGGGACACGACCCGTTGCACTACACGATCTCGCGGCGCGGCCGCAAGCAGCCGTCGGGCGCCACGGCCGCCGCCTCGCCGTCCGAGGTCGTCGCGGTCACGTGGGACGGGGTCGAGGTCGAGGTGAGCCGCGTGACCCGCTTGTAAAGCCTGGTCCGTGAGCACGTAGAATCCCGTCCAATGACCCCAAGCTACCCATCCTTATCGCTCGCGCGTAATTATGTTGCTATCGCGCTCGCACACTCACTGCGGGTGCCAGTCGCACAGTCGCGACAGCAATATAATTACGCGCGAGCGATAAGGATGGGTTTGTAAAAGGAAAGGGCACCCGCGAGCAAATTTTTACAGTGCGCCAGATCATCGAGAAAGCGAGAGAGTTCAACAAGCCTACATATATCTGCTTTGTAGACTTCTCGAAAGCATTCGACTCGGTGAGGTGGCCAGTTTTATGGGGATTTTTGCTGGAAATGGGCACGCCGAAACATCTTGTCCACTTGCTCAGACGCCTGTACGAGAGCGGATTGGCATCAGTAAAAACAGATGAAACGCTGTCGAGTCATTTCCATCCGGATGCAGGAGTACGCCAGGGCTGCATTATTTCACCGCTACTTTTCAACATCTATACAGAGATGATAATGAGAATTGCCTTAGAAGATTGGACGGACGGAGTCGTAATTGGCGGTAAAAGGATCTCCAACTTGCGATATGCGGATGACACGACCTTATTCGCTACTGATGCTCGTCATATGGAAGATCTGCTGCACAAGATGGAAGCTACAAGCCGAGAATTTGGATTGAAAATAAATCGCACAAAAACCAAAATGATGATTGTCGACCGCGCCAATAACAACTTACCAGGGATTACACACATAGGGAATTGCGAGGTTGTTAAATCATACATTTATCTTGGGGCATTGATATCCAATGAAGGCGGGTGCATAGACGAAATCAAGCGACGCAACGCAGTCACTAGGTCTGCTATGGACAAAATGAGGAAGATTTGG